ATCTGTGTGCGTGTGTTTGTGTCCAATCCATGTGCCTTGTCCCCTCCCACGAAGGCTGTTTTCCAAAGTATCACGTGCACCCACTGGATTTCAGTGCTTTGAGTGTTCACTGTGCAGCACACGAGGTAGGTGAGAGAGAGAGACAGACGGACAGAAAGCGAGTAAGATGTGATAATGTAAAACACAGCACTAATTACAGCCATCTAGGCACTGAAATCAGCTCTACTAGGACATTAAACATGGCTACGAAGGAGAGAGAAAAGTAATATGTACTATCAAGTTCTTTTGCAGTTTTGGCCGTCTCTATCGTTTCTGATAACATTGTACTCACCAAAGTAATTCTTGAGTTCTGGAAACATAGCTACAATGAAGTCCAATGGAGCAAGAAGCCCAAGCAGTCAGACTATCAGACAGTGAGACAGAGACCGTGTGTGCTCACAAGCATGCAGTGTACATTTAGGAAATCATTTTTACCATTCACTTTTGCATTCTCTTTCAAATAATTAGGCTAACTTGGGGGATGGTTTAAATCCTATATGATCTAATTACTTGTGTTCCTGACTTGTGACCAATTATAATTGAGTTATTTCAACCAACAAGAATGATGACTACTGCTCTAATCAATCTTTTCATTTTAAAAATGGATCAAATGTGTAATGTGAAAGGTGTCACTCCTAGAACACACTGAGACAGCTGACCTTGCATTTCCCATCAGCTCTATGGAGTGTTTGAACGTCCTTCAGCTCATTGTTTTGGTTTTATGCTCTACAACGTTGTTTGGTTTGGTGCAGTCTCATCACTCTCAGTGTCATATCCAGCTTCAGCGGGCAGCTGTTATCAGTGAAAAAGCTCTGCACGCTACCTAACCAGCACCAAATTGCTGACAAAGTTAAGAGTGCTGGCTTGTGAACATAGAGGAGCATTTACTGTCATGACTTAAGAGCCAGATATTTCTCTCAATAATTAGCGGAGACCAAACCAGAGCGAGAAGCAAAGAGGATACTGGAATGAACCTCACCTGGAGTTCACAAATATCCTTTAAGCAGGACAACAATAGGAAAGTATTTCCTTCACACGAACAATGACAATTATTTAACTTTGAAAATATATAAATGTAGATCATCAAAAATTAAAATGGCCATAAAGAGCATTTATTAGAATCTCCAATTCTCTTGGCCAGCTGATAGCAACCGGACTATGTAGAAATGAATATATTCCTTTGGAAATAGTGTATGTCATAGTAAAGCCTATTTCAAGTTAAAGTGAAGTGAAATGAGACACAGAGAAAGAGAGAGAGAGAGAGAGAGAGAGAGAGAGAGAGAGAGAGAGAGAGAGAGAGAGCAGATTTGAGAGATAGAAAAAACAAACAGATGGAGATGTCCATGCTGCTAGTTAACAGACACCTATACTATGACTATTGAGTGGATCAGATGAGGTCACTTAAAGAGTACTGATCTAGGAAACAAGCACAAACCGAGCAGGGTGACTGGAGTCATAACAGATGAGACTCAACAACACTTGGAAAGGCTTGATGTTGAATAGGGAGTGGATATTGAATTTCAAAGACACAAACAAGATTCACCAGGCAGGGAGGGGGGAGAGGTTCCTCTTGTGGGTGCCCTGAGTTGCTGTCCTCATAGGAGCCAAATTCTTCTCTGGGTGAGGCGGGCCGGTGATCAATAACCAGGTGAAAGTGGCTGCTGGCCTTGATCCTAATTAGTACAGGGTTAGAGCAGATTAGCTTGCACCTGAGCCTTTCTCAAACAACAGATCCCTCCCAATCAGGCTACCTAGAAGCACCAGCATCAGCACAATTCAGGGAAACATTGTGGGGTGGGGACAGGTGAGTCTTTCAAAGAGGGGAGTGAGCAGGGCGATTAGTGCTATTGCTACTTTTAAATAATTCTCATGGTAAACCTCTGTTATAACAGTCACATCTGTTAAAAACACACAGCATTAAGGGAAAGGTTAGGAAGAGGAGACCGTGAGGAGATTAGTATGTGTTGCTGTGTGTGTGTGTGTGTCTTGTGTGTTTGTGACTGTGCATGAGTTTACATGTATGTGAGACAAGGCCCAGTCTGTACACAGCAGTGTTGTGAATTGACAGTTGAAAGTTGTGAAAAAATACATAGGCCTTCATAAGCCGCCTGCTGCTCTGTTTTCCTCTAAACTACTGCAATCAATTTTGGATTCACAAAACAACAAAAGAAGAAGAACAACAAAACCAAAGCAAAATACATAAATTCAATCCAACATGGGACCTGGACGTGAAAAGACAAAATATATATTATGATAGAGGTACTTTTTAGATTGTGCAAATAGTAAATTTTTACTAAAACATAATACATTCACTTATCTCTCTTCTTTCCCAAAAATATTTTACTTTAGAATCTGCAAGTGGGCCTGTTGTTGCTTAAAGACCATGGTAATGGAATTTACATGCAGAGCCAATTCTTGATTGTATCATGGCTAAGCATAAAAAATTTATTTCTTGGATAAAACATATTAGACAGGCACTAACCTTCTGGACATTTTATATCTTAAGTGTCCAGATACATTTTAATCAAAATTGACTTTCTGAAGAAAAAAAATGTGTGTTGTTTCAAAAGTAAAGGCACATTTTGACCTCACTAACAAAGCTAAATCGTCAGCATACAGAGAAAGCTAACAATAAACTACAGTTTTCATCATTTATTTATGTTAGAAAGAATAAGGGTCCTAAGATTGATACCTGTGGAACGCCACTTATGCCATTAATACTGCATCTAGACATTGAATATGATTACTTGATATATGCCAACTAACTTATCTCACCCAATTGTGTCCAATTTACTGGATAACTTATGTACTGTATCAAATGAAAATAGACAAATTAAAACACAAATTGAAAATATGTACATTATGGGATGTGATTATAGAGCATCCATCTTTTAAAAATCTGGCTGCAGTGCCATTGATCTCTGTAGCTTCATACACAATGTGTTATCCATCCTTTAAAATATAGCTATTCCTTTTAGACTTGCTCTGGTCATCTTTTTTTTTTACATTACAAATAGTTGATATGTAATATTTAAAACAAAACACAGATACTCCTGAAGTGGCAGAATGAGCCAGCCATGCCTAATGGACACCGACAAGCTCTGTGTAACTGTAAAGCTACAATATGTGTATCTGTGTAAGGTTCACGGCTCCTCACCCAGCCTGACCTGGTTTGGTCTGACACTTTTCCCAGTCTGCATACAGAAAGAAACATCACACCAGTACACATACAGCAAAAAAAACCACACACACACAACACACACACATTCAGACACATTCTTCCCCCTGGTGCAAGCTTGTGCAAGCTTGTACACACACACACACACACACACACACACACGCAAATATACACTCATCCAACTGTCCATCAAATACCGCTCTCAGCTTTTTCCAAACACAAACTCCAACAAAATAAGTCACAGAGTCAATCATGCACACAGACACGCACATTAAATCCACACACAGATGCCATCTCCGGGTCAATCTACCTCTTCATCCAAAAAGACAGAGAGATATTTATCGAGCTGCCACCAATGGTGATGAGTCTATTGACCCCAAAGGCTTTTGGGTCAGACAAGAACCTTTCCACCTCCCCACTATATTCATTCATAAATGAGCTGCAGGACTTGGGAAGGAAGTTGTCATCTCTCTGGCAGAAATTACTTTATGACATAGCTGAGATTTCTCTTAAGTGCCTCCCCATGTACTTTTTCTCCTGATGACAAATGGGACTAGGGCCTTACCTCTCCTTATGGGAAGCGGCAGTGATAGCACAGGAAATGAGGAAATGTAATCATGGCAATGATGATGTTATACATTAACAGGTGGAGATGGCAGGCAGAAGGATCTAATTTGGAGGCTAATTGTTGAGCGAAGAAAGCAAGTTGTGAGGTGCCACAGTGGACATGAATACTTGAGAGGAAAAAGTGCTGGGTATTTCCACACCATGTGCCGGTTCACCAATGTGGTCCAACTGTGGTGTGTTTGTGGTGCTGCAATGTTGTGTGGACAAAAAAACTTTAACTACAGTGGGCATGGAATTAACTACCCTGAGGGACTCCCCTGAGATACCAAAGAGGGATTACATGCCTGTGTGCGTGCGCTTGTACTATTCTCCCTATACAGCTAGCTCTGTTGAGACAATTCCTTTATGATTATTACATTATCATAATACTGTCTAATGAACACTAACTAATGTCTTCCATAGCTAATATGAATGACTCCTATCCCTCAGTCCCTCCGATTTCCACTGAATGACTTAACCATGTTAGTCCAGCCAGTCAATAAAGACAAACACATTTAGGAGCTGTATTTCTACCCTCTAGAACTGGCGACTTGTCCAGGGCGTACAGCACCTGGACAAGTACGGATAAGCGGTTGAAGATGGATGGATGGATTTCTGCCTTTAGGATGCACTAGGCCAGTGTTTGATTTAAGGAGTCAAAGGCAAAAAGACCACATTTTAAAAAAACTTCACCCACGGCGAATATTTTTGCATTCACACACAAAATAGTTCTGAAAAAAAATAAAATAAATAAATCAAGATCAGTGTAAGAGATCAGCTGGGACAACAGATGCCACCTTGTGTCATTGACTGCTTACCACTTCAAACTGTTTCCATTTTCAGCAGCACTGTGCAGTAGAGGCCGATACCGTTTCCGCAGCTCGGCTCAGCTGTAACAACGCTGATTTCACCGATGGCCTCAGGGTACTTAACTCTACGTTTCCTCTTGCTCATGCATACTAAGAATCCATGTGGACCCAGGGTTGGTTTCTGTGTCCCTTTCAGTGCAGTTATGCCTTACTGTACAATCTACGATTGGGATAGAAAGCTACATGCTGGCATCTACTGTTCATTTTGGGCACACACAGTACAGTGCATTCCACTCTGGCTTGTGAAAAGCCATGGACAGTTTTTTAGTGCAGACAACAACATATAAACAGCAAACATACATATAGTGTTTTAATAATTATGTTCTACAGTATGTATTTTAATTGGCAGTTTTAATAGAATACATCATAAGAAATTGTGCGTCATGTTTAAAGTTGTTTACATAACAGATAATCATGTTACTAAATATATGATTGCTTTAATTTTTTGGACAATTTCCATCTACAGTGGTTGAACACAAACTTTTTGAAATCAGATACTGAATGTGTAAAAATGTATCATGAATCATCCACAACATGTAACTATACTGATACGATAATAACTACAGTCAAACAGCATGAGAGGGAATGCAGATTCAGGCTGGGACTGAATCTCTCTCTCTATCCTCTGTGTCCCTGATCAAAATCAAACTCTGTACACTTGGCTAAATCTCTGTAACATTGGTTGATTTGCACTTGAGGTTTAAAGCGAGCATTTGGTCAAGGTTGTGTAAACACTTTCGAAAGGCACAAGATTATGCTACGCTCTGTGCATCTGTTTGGTCGGTGGAAAGAAAAAAGAGGAATATTCTCCACTTGCAGCAGGAGTAACGTGTTCTTATCTACAGCCATAATTTTAGTAACACATCCAAAATATGACAATCCCTAAGCAGCATCTAATACACAAGATATGTAAAGAATTGCAACACCCTCTGATATCTGAAAAGATATTTTCCTATGCAAATAACTACATACAGAGTACAGTATTCCCATTCTTATACCAAGATGGATTGCCCCTTCCCAACCTTGGATTGCATTAGTCTGTAGAAGAAGCCACTGGTTGCTGTCCGTAAAGTCATTCCTGTGGCTCTTAAATAACCTCTGACTCATGTCGCGCCAAAGCTGGAGGCAGTGTGGTTCCACATGGACCCTGGAAATGGTGCCTGTGACACATCCCACACACAGAGAAACAAGACATGAATTTTAGGCGGAAGGTCACTCGTTGAGTTGAAAGTGCCTTGGTTTGGGCGACTGATTCAAGGTAACAAATAGTGGAAAGGGGCCTGGGCCCTGTTTCAGAAAGCAGGTTTAACATACACTGAGCTTAACCCTGAGCTCTGAGTAGACTGAGCTGATCAGAATAAGTTCAGTCAACTCTGAGTATGCTGAACCTGATGGAAGCGCGTGCGTGGGGATGAAAAAAAGCCATCATCAATGGAGCTCCGATTCTACGATTCACCATGGCAACGGTTAAGTAAAGCAGAGCCTCCATTTTAATCGGTTGGGGCTAGAAATATGAATGCGTGTCAACGCAGACTCTGATAGGCTATTTATGTTAAAACGCAGCAGTGGAGAAAGGATCAATATGCTACCGTTGCTCATCCATCATTTACCAGAATGGAATTTCTTTAATGAATGATAAAGTGCTGGAATTCTCTCTATAGGCTAAATTTTATTATTAAATAGGCTTTAGGTCTATTTATTCAGCTGTAAGCTGACGGGACAAAATGCCGGTGGCAATCGTGGCTACCTGAAGATGAAAATATGTATCAAATATAAGACAGTTTACTCATGGACATATTTTTGCATTGGAAAATGTGTCTAGGTTCAAACTGACTGTAAAGTTGTAGACATCTATTTTACATTAATAAAATCTTGCTCATTTTGTATTTCATGAAATGCTGTAAAAACACATTCAGACTATGCATCTAATAATCAAAAACTCACTTTTAGACTACATTTATTTGTTTCAGCTGCACCACAGTCATCCTCACTCAGAAATATTCACATTGTATCCAGTTGACAACTACAAGGACTGTTCCAATCAGTGCGACTACAATATGAAAGATTACTGTTAATTGATCAGTTTTATACTGATTAGTTTAAACAGGGATTGCTGCAGCACTGTAGCTCACGGTAAGTGTTTTTGTGCAACTGTTGCCAACCTGACAGCTGTCCACACTATGTCATAAAGGACAGTGTAGCCTATAGATTTTAATCTGTGCTGAGGATAAATCCACCATGTCCAAAGATAACTCTGTCCATACATCGATGAGAGATTGATCATAAAAGCGGTCATGCTCAAGATCATGTTCAGGTAAAAAAAAAAAATAGCCTATCCAACCGGGATATCGATGTTTCTAAAGACGTAGCCTAATTGCGTTCCAATATGTGCTTTGACATCGACAGTATGAATGAGTAAATGTCAGACAGCCGCTTCAGGCTCCGCAGGAGGGGAGTCAGAGAGAAATTCAGCGTTTATAGAAGTAAACCTACTCCCGAGGAGGTTAGGTTCACAGCGAAAGTTGCTGGGGTTACTGACCTAGAGTTTATCTGATCTCGGTCTCTGAAACCGAAAACCCAGAGTTTCCCTCATCTCGGGCTTAACATACTCTGGGTTTTCATTAAACCTGCTTTCCGAAACAGAGCCCTGGAAGCTGCCTCTGCTGCCAGTGGGTGGCACTAAATATCAATAGAAACATGCATCACTATCCTATGGTCTGGTTTTACTTATCATTCATATATGTTCATGCTAACTTCATTCATTATACAACCAGATTGGTGGTACAGTTTTATCTTTTTCAACATGCACTCAGTTTCTGGACTGACTTACGTGAAATACCCAGTTTTTGGTGTCGTTTGTATATTAAATTCCGCCACTGGGATGCCCCTGGATGCAATCTGGGGGCCAAACATGGCTGCTGGGTAAACAATTGAAGATGTGCCCACCTGTAGTTTTACAACAGAGAACAATGACACTTGCGTCTACTTGAAATCTATACAACATTGTATTACAGGTCCAGTCCTTCTGAACAAATGTTTGCTTTACACAATATTACACAGAGGAGAATATGATGTGTATGCATATACAAATGAGGATAACTCACCACCAGACAGAGATCACATATTTCCATCTCTTTTTCCACCTTGGTCAGCATATGAGAGTCCAGAGTTTCTCCAAAAAACACCACGTTGGGCCTCAGCAGACCGTGACAGTCACTTTCGTCACACCTTGATACCAACAGGAACAAACAGTCCTTAGACGATTAATTGTGTCATACTGCATTTATCACAGAATAATTGGCCATACCACACTATGATTATGCAGAAATGACGAGTCAGACATGAGGCGACCATAGAGACTAAATAAAGCATAATCACTTTCCTATTGTTGTTTATGGTTCAACCAAGCGGGAAGCTTCCGGTCAGCAAACTGATGCGAACGCCGAAGTCCCTTAAACCTGCATTCTATCGAACGGCCAGCATGGGGCGACTCTTCCGGTTGCAAAAAGAAGTCCGGCTTCATTAGAAATTATGGTAAAATGACCCTACTTCTCAGCTGAATAATTACCTCAGTAAACACTTTCCTTATGAGTTTATGTTCTTAATCAATAGTTTCATGTCTTCTTCAATACAACTTGATGTTCATTTAGTAAATTATGGTACCATTTAGAGGAAAATAGACCATAAAGATGCTTCAGGGAGGGATTATCTGTGATTGACAAGTCGTTACCATGGTCGACCTGTCAATCAGGCTAGAGTGACTCATACCCACGGCACTGTGTAAATTTAACTAGTTGAAAAACCTTATTAGGGGTTGGCTGTTCACTTTCTCTGGTGAGTACATTTAGTTTTAAGACTGTTTGCTAGACAAAATTGTCAGCCCTGTTAAAATGACAGTTCACGTGAATTACAGATGCACCTAGCTAAGCAAGCTAGCTAGCTCCACACACAGCTGTTAGCTCCACCGTCTCTCCCAAATATAGTCACGTCCAGTGCTGCTGGTTGCAAAAAATCGACATGGCGGCACCCTATCGGCCAAACTCAAGGCTTCAAAACGGCAGTCCACAAACCAACAGGTGTCGTCTTCATGACTTTGTCCACTTTTTTTATACAGTCTATGGGTTCAACCATATAACCCATGTTCATTGTATGTACTCTCAGTGTTTCTGTTCACAATGTGCGCATTTGAATTAAAACTCAGGTTCATTCATGTTTTTCTCTCCCACCTCAATCTTCCCTTGTAACATACTGCTCTTTATAGGCAGAGAATGTTTCACGTAAAACTGGCATACAAAAAATGAAGCAATCTCAAATTGCCTGCGTAATACAAATAGAGGAGATATACAAGATGACAGGCCTGTTTGATAAAGGAAAACTCCAGGTGTAGTATGCATCAGAAAAGCACTACAAAAGGCTTAGTAAATCTGACCCTCAGTGTTATTAATATGAAGTGACAGTAATCCCACCTTGGCAGTTTATCCACTGGAATCTGGGCATCAGCAACATCTGGGTCAGGTGCACTGTACATTAAGAGAACAAACACAAAGGCACTTTACTCACACGAGGGTCAAACTGAAGAGATCAGGCAACAACTCCTGCATGTTTATCAGTGTGTGTATACTCAAGAGGTGCTGCCTTTTACCCTTTGTCCTTTAGGGCAGCACATATGGGGCTTTGCTTGTTCGTGGTCACGTGTCCACAACTCACACAGCGAGTCTCCATCAGACTGCCTGTAGTTACACATGGAAAACACAGCCGTTTATCATTTAGGCCCGCTGGAGTCACAGAAAACATCTCCCTCGTGACAGAATTACTTGACAATGATAGTTTTGCGCCCGGACTCATCCAGGTCAATTAAAACAAGAGTTTAGCAAAGAAACGAGTCAAATGCTTTATAATCTTTTTTTGCCATAATCCACCCAGAAACAGAAAAGCCACAAAAAACTGTTGCCTTAAAATGGAAACGAGATTAGAGAAATAGAGGAATTTAGAGAAATATATCATCACAGGACACTTTTTTTGGAGTTGATGTACTGACATTAAATTAGTGACTCACTCTGTGGACTCTCTAGGATGTTTGTTTGAAAGACCAACTATGAATTACAAAATGTTTCCATATCCAAGTAAAAGCTTGGGATATATGTGGCTCGGTCATATTTTCTAGTAATCACTGACTATGGAGCAGCTTCAGGATTTTAGTCACAATTTACTTTTTTTAATTCCCACAAAGAAATGAAACCTCCCTATGCATTTTTGCCTCTAGATGGCAACTTGTTCAAATTCAAAAATACACTCGGTTCTATTTTAGGGTAGATTTTTCCTTTAAAAATTTGTAGTCCAACTCTCACCATGAATCTTGAGCACGTGTTTGGACCCGGCCTGTCGGTGGAGGTCGTCTATGCACTGGGTGATGACCACCACGGAGCGTCCCTGCTTTCTCAGTCGGGCCTCACACTCTGCTATAGCCAGATGTGCGACACTGGGCTTCTTGCTCAAAGCCAGCTCCCTTCTGTAATGGTAGAACTCCCAGACGCGAGACGGGTTGCGAGAGAAGGCCTCTGGGGTTGCCAGGTCCTGGGGATGCATCAATGTATGTGTGTTATAGGTCAAAACTCAAGTATTAAAAAGGTTTCAAAAGAGCAGTATTAAGAAGCGAGGATTAGAAGAGATAATGAAAGGCATCATAGATTAAGTTTAAACACCTCAATTCGGGAGGGAGATTATAAGTTTGTCGTATGAAAGACCATTTTTGATTCTTTCCTGGAGGTAAATCTTGGTGCAGCCCACAACAAAGAATCCAGATTATGCAACAAACACCATTTCTCTCTTTACCGGCTGTTGCTGCCTGGATAAATCCGCTGAGCTGTGAAGATGTATTATGTAAACATAAAATACACCCACTTCACAGCAACAACTCTGAACCACAGCTGGAAATTGGATCAAACATAAATCTTTGACTTAAATAAAAAAAAATACAGCCATGTACACGTGTGTGTGTTTTGCTTTTTAAGAAATTACCTGAGACTGCCACTTCCTCCACTTCTCATTTTCTCCCCTGAAGGTCGGTACTCCACTCTCTGCACTCACACCTGCGCCTGTGATGATAGCTATGTGTTTGGCTTTTGAAAAGAGTGCACGGAATTCAGACATGTCTGGAGGGGGAAAAAAAGGAAATGCAACATATTTTCAAGTGCTTTTTTAAGTGTCTATACTTTTTTAAAAAAAACATTCAATAATATATTTATTACTATCAAACAAGGGAAGACAACTCACAAGCAGATATGTTTGACAACTCAATGCTTTTGTTCTCAAGTTGATCATTTCCAACATCTTGTCCTAATATTCAGTAACAATTTAAAAATTTGTGTTGTCCTCCCAACAACATATCCACTAATGCCAAGTCTGGGGAGAGGACGGTGGAGTGTTGCAGTTAGTATTATTACAATATTTGAGTCATACACTGTAGTGTTTTTGGTGTCCTTTGGTGACACATACTTTGCATTAGTGGTGTCAGGAAGAATTGATTTGAGAAAGAAGTCAGTATGCAAATTTACACATAAGTAATCATTACACACTGGTTCATTAACATAGCATGTAGTCTACTACTACATAGTAGTGTTACTTAAAACATTAAATTTCACTAATTTGCAGAATCATTTTCTTATACGGTGCTGTCAGAAAGGATGACCTGACTGGCTGACGTCCAATGTTTAATGAAGGACCAATATTGACCTGACACAGCTGTCATTTTACCTGAGCTGGGCCTTGCTGTGTCCATCAAAGGTCCTCTCATCACATGAGTGGAGCACATGCGAAGACGAAGTGCAAACACAGCTCGATTTTGGAGGAGCATTGTCACTTTTGTTACTGAAGAACAGATGGATACATAAAAAAGTAAAAGCACACGAAATGAAAAGAAAGTCCCACTTTTAACTCTTATCTTTATTCACACAAACTAGCTGCTGTGAAGATGTGCACATTTCCTCTGTATATATTCTATGCATTATGACTTATCTATACTGAATATAAAGATGACAAATCATCCTTTAACCTGAACGCTACTGGAGTCAAATGTAGGTCTTCTTTACAGACTCATGTTGTGCAGCGCAGCATTGTTTAAACCCACAGAACGTTGCTACAAATCCTAACTGTGATCCCAAAGTTTTACTTTAACCTTGTCTTGCTTTGTTCGGCATCTGTTGTTATACTACCTTCTGAGTATCCAGCTTTCACTTTGTCTGTCAAAGCACTTTGTAAAGTTAAGTAAAATTATTATTACGATTATAATTAAAGTTTCCAAAGATACTACATGTCACGCTATATTCGGGGCATATGCATACATCATGCAAAAGCAATGTACAATATGTGCATATGTTGTAATAGTGCAGCCATAAAGAACATACTCATGAGCATTTCACTAATAGCTGCAATGAAGTGTAGGAAAATGCACATTATATGTGTGTTCTCTATACTGTTATACAGTATGTGAAAAAAGGTTAGAACACTTTAAGGTAAGTTTAAGTAGAATATCCAGTAGAAGTGAGCCTGTGTATAGCAAATGTGTACATAAAGTAGTTCTTCCTTTATATATGGCATATTTACCGACATATCAATATAAACACAAGATATGGCTGCAAGAATGCATCTGATGTGGTTGTACAATCAAAGCAGTGATACTCTTAAATGTAGTAATGTGGACAAAACTGAGGGAGCTGAGGAAGGAATGTGCATAAAATAAATCTGAAAAAGAATATGGTTGGCAGCAAACGTAAACAGTGGCTTTTAAGCGGTATAATTCAAAAACAAATAACCAATAAAAAACAGACAATTGGGTGCGCCCTACAAGAAGCAGTAGTCGATCTGTTAATATTTGACAGAGGGATGAAACTACAGGACACACATCATTCTACAGCTATTTATGCATCTTGACGTTTTTTTAGTGAATATCTTCTCTTCTAATCCCATAACGTTATATGAAATCCTCCTTATCACCCCTTAAATCGCCTAATACTGCCTACAAGCCTGAACAAACCTACAGCCAAATGTGTCGAGGCAGGTTTAACAGCCTGCCCAGCCCAATGTATAAAAGATTATAATTAACGAGTCAAAGAGCTGTACGTTAGGACATTCTGCATATTAGCACAAGTTAACGTTACAGCTAAACTGCACTCTGTTTATTGCTTATCTTGGACAAACCAGCCGCTTTATTTCCAATAGTAAAATCTCTTGACAGTACAAGTTGTTAACTTCAGCTGAAGAGTCCTTCACACGCAGATGTAACCCACTAACTTACGTTAACACAACAATGCTTGTAACGTCGTTAACCAAGTTTGCTGATGATGAAGTGTTGTCGTGCTCTCTGTCACATAACGTTAGGCAGGAACTAACGTGCACATCCATTATAACATGTGTAAAAGCTAACTTCTGTGATATCAGCGGATACATGCGTATTTAAAATACATTGCCTTAGTAGTGGTATCGTACTTACTTAGCTTTGTGATAATTCCCACTTTCGAAGCAGAAAGATACGTCGAGTTTGCTTGTTTACCTCTATCACCACAATTATCACGAGAAGCCGTAAACGTGCCACACTGTCGTAAATCGCGCTCCAAAGAAATGCTCATAAACCAAACTGAGGTGACGAGAAGACAAAAATGTGTAGTTTAGGAGCACCATCTGGTGGTAGACTGCTGTAAGTCTGCTTCATTCAGTATGATTCATTCATTCTCCTGCTCAAGTCAGAGACACAGCAACACTTCATGCTACCCCACTGAAGTCATATATCGTCGAATTTTGCTGTGTTTATGTTTATGTTGTAAGCTGCCTAGTTGCAAAAAGTTTACTCAACTGAAGCAGCAAAATATTTCAGGGACTATCACACATCAAATGAAACGACAGGCTACTTCTTCTCAAAATCTGCCACTTCATTTTGTCTCCTCTGTGGTTCTCACCATTACCTTTACATTTAAGTGTTAAACTATATCTCGTCTTATAATATATAGGCTATATTCAATTGGAATTGTTTGCTTGCCTTTAGTAGCCTATACCATGCAGTATTATGTCGCTGTAGTGTGCTATAGGTAATCGTGTCACTTGTGTGCAGGATATATTGTAGCAATGTGAAAGCTAGCCTATTCGTTGTATTAGGCTACTTTCCTACAAATTACTGGGCTAGATCTAGGCTTAGCTAAAACCTGTACAACAATACGGACAATGCTATATTTGGACAAGCTATTTTTGAATTAGAAAAATAAAATATATACATAAGCTGCTGTAGGTCGTACATCACTAGCCTAGCCTATAGGCTATTATATTTATGAAAGACTGCTGACGATATAGGCTACATTTTATTTATATGTAGGAGCTTTATTTTAGCCGGTTATAGCCCCCCCACCCCCAATATTTTGCCATTTTTATACATTTTTTTGATCATCGTGTATCCATGCCAGATTTCCCACCAACGCCTCTCTCTCTCTCTCTCTCTCTCTCTCTCTCTCTCCCTCTCTCTCTCTCCCTCTCTCTCGGTGTGTGTGAACTCCCTCCTCCCCATCAACAGCTACCTCTCAGTGTGTGAGTGGCCGTGGTTCTGCGTCTGCCCCAGTCGGCCAGCAGTCATCCCTGGACACTGGTTCAAATTGATGGCGACCACTCCAGACAGCAGCACAGACCGCAGACCGATAAGGAGACTCCGCTCCAAGAGCGATACCCCATATCTTGTTGAATCCCGGCTCTCCTTCAACCTGCGGACAGGTAGGCGCACATCCAACCGCCCTGCCCTCAAAGCGTTTTGTTAGATGTTTTGCCAGATGTCTTAATGTGGGTGGACTGGGGGGGGGGTCACAGCCTGAGATACGATCCTAGTTTACGCGAATGAAAAAATTACAACGTTTACCCTACAGGGTATTATTCTTGTGAATTGGTGTTATAGCTTTCCTGTGAGATGTATCCCTTTAAAATGCATTAATGGATAGATCTAAATATTCCTGCATGGCAAGGAGAAATGTGACTGAAATGTTATGCAACTTTGTAGACTAACGCTGGTGGTTAATGACATGTCTGGCGCAAAAACAGTGATGGAGTTAAGATATTAAACAGCGATTTTATACCTGTAAATGCTGTTCTTGTGTAAATGTTGATTTAGTCAGTTCTTGGTAATTGCTACCACTGTAATTCAGCGCAGTTACATAATAGGCTATGAAGAAGCTTCAACGTGACCTGTAGTAGCCCAAGCTTTGGCTGTGGTCCTGGTGCACAAAATCTGATATCCGGTGTGTTCAGCCTCTTTTGGGGTAGATTTTAATCACCACATTTTAAACAGTTGTAATAGATCCCGTGATGATGCTCCTGGTGAGCAGTCTTCTGTCTCCATCACCCTTTACAAAGCTGTTGCATCCCCAGTTACCATGGTGACATGGCATTTTATGCTGACTGAGTCAACAGGATTCAGATTTTGCACTACAGTGTGATTAACATACACACTGCATCTGAAAACAGGCCTCCTGGTAGCCAAGTCAGTCTTTTTTATCACCTCTGAAAGATATTTGATGTTTGTAGCAGTAACCCATGTGCTTATCTCTTATTGGTCTCATTTGTGCCCACATGTGTAATGACTAGAATGACATCACAAGTCACGCACTCTCTGTTCTCTTGGTGCTAATATTTTGAAACACCTAGTCCTCACAGCCCTAAGAGCTATTGCAACTTTATAAATATATCCTTGTCCTAGCATCTCAGCTTGCTGGAGTCACAGCCATCTATCCACTCAGCAAAATGTGTGAGATGAGTACCACACCTATAGTCTACTGCGGTGTTTGGATGTGGCCCAATTCAATAAGGGGTTTTATAGAGCATGCATTGAAGGTTTTGGGAGATGGTTTGTAGACTGCAATTTAAGCTAATGTCTTGCTGGTAACTGTGGGTTTGCTCTATTGAATGCACTGATATGAAGAACATGGTTTGAGTGTTTTTTTTTAGAGGAATGTTAATTGTTTTGTGGAAAACTAAAAAACCTGTCAGTTAAACTAAAGTTTAGAATAGTGTACACATATAGGCTAGTAGTAGCACAGTGTAAATATCCTCTGTTGTAAGCTTTTTGAATGACAAAGCAGTGTGTGTGTGTCTGTCTGTGTGTAGGCCTGCAATTACAGATTATTTTCATTATAGATTAATCAACTAATATTCTTTTCTATCAATCATTTAATAATTCAGTCCACCACGTCATGTGTCACAACGCCACAGAGACCAAAGTGACATCTTCAAATTGCTTGTTTTGTCCGACCAACACATGTATAAACAAAGAAATGTTACAAATCTTCCTCACACTTGGAAACCTGCCAGCAAATCAGTTAGTCAGCTAATCACTTCAGCACCAATGTGTTTGACTGTGGAAGGAAACTAAGCAGAATTTGTGTTATCTCAAGTCAGGACAGTTGGACAGGACAGCATTCTGGACTCTAGAGGCTGAGGGGATTATAATCGCAGGGTCATCACTTTAATCATAAAGTGACTGCATCTTTCTCTTGTGCAGCTGCTCAGCGGCTCAACAATGTAGCTGCTGTATTGACAGCTCCCAGGTGAGCAATGTGAACCAGGGCGCTCCTGGAAAAGAGCATGGGTGCTCAGTTGTGTTTACCTGGATGAGTGACTGCTGAATAAAAAGCCCCCCCAGCATGTTTATCTCATATAAGCCTCTGTAGGTCTAGGCTTCTCTTGCCCATGAGTGTTTGGCCTGTGGAGACGAGCTTGTTGTCGATGGCAGGACTGTCATTTGTCTCTATGCTCCCTTTTTTTCAATTTCCCTACTCTAGAGCGAGCTCACACAAAGCATGAGGATGGTATGGGGGCGATTTGTACAACAGCACTGTTGACTCACTTCCACCTGAAGAAGTGGAGCAGGATTTAGCTTGCTTATTGCCAAGGAAACCAAAAGTCTCGTGGTTGTGTGTCCAGGTGCTTAATAATGATAAATGAACAGAGCTGCTAAGGATGTGAAACAAGAACTAAGCAATTATCTCTGTGTAGTTCTGGACAAGACAGTGGCTTTGGTTCTCTTTTTGTTATGTTTATTTCAGGGCGATTATAAGGGTTCTAAACACGGCCTACTATTATACACGGATCATAAAAATGATTTCATATAGTGTGCAAAGAGTGACACAAGAGGATCAATGTTTTGTGAGTAGATTTATTTTGGAGCCACCAGACATTTTATGACTGTATTCATGATTTCATCAATGAACTGCCACTTCACAGAGAGAATACACTTTAATATCGAACCCAGTCACGTTATAGTCAAGACACTGGCAGTCTGACCTCTGTTCCAATGAGATTGAGTTGTGTAATTTGCTTTGATGTGTTTGCCTGTGTGAAAATCTGGAGGTGAATCCAAGGTTCACAGCCAACATTGCTTTATTCCCTGATGCTGAAACTGAGCTCAGTTAGCCCATACATGGATCAGTGGTGTCTATGGGGATTAAGCCTCTACTACATGTTTGACATCTCCAGGAACGAGACTGTAGCATACAAATAACAGATACTCTATGGGCTTCTAATGGAATCAGGGAGCACGTATGAAACATCACTTTATTGCATTGACCTGTTTAGCGTCTGCACTAATGTAATTTGCCCCACAGTTAATTTGCCGCGCACACAGTCGCAAAGACATAACAACATAATGGCATCAGTTACTGTGCAGCTATCAACGGGCTGTGTCACCAGTCATAAAACATTTGAGGATGTAGGTGTACATGGATGGTTGACCTACTTCACAGGTTTTATTTCAATCATTACTGCCTGTTATGGAGCTATAGCTAAGCCTCACATGCACACGCGCATGCACACGCGCACGCACACACACACAAACATTTTTATCTGGACTAGTAGCTGAGAGATTACAGTGTTTGGGGAACTACAATCATTATTGGTTACCTAAGGTTCCTTGTCTATGGTCTTGACCTTGTCTATTGTCAGTGTGCATGTTTCTGAGGTGTGTGCATGCATGAATATCTGTCCCTTGTTAGTGTGATGTGTATGTGTTGCCTGCTGACACAGCATCTGTCTCACTAGAAGAGGTTGTCTGCTTGTTTTTATTCATCGATCATTCAGCGGCTCAAGTACCCCATCTGCTTTCTGTCTCCACGCTCATGCTGCACACAAGAAACTCTCTATATTACAGCAGCTAGCTCTTTTGATTTTCCACTAAGATCCTTATACGAAAGAGACCAGACATCTGTGAGTTTTCTATCATCTTTGCCAACACAATCAACCTAACCTTTTTACTCTGTGTCTTCTTTCTTTCTCTGCATTCTACACCTTTCGGTAATACTCCTTTGTTGTCAATACTCCGTGAAATTAATAGATACTCATACTGTTTTTGTGAGATACCTTTAACTATAATATAAGACTGTCTGGTGCAATTGCAGTTGTGGTTTTCAGTACAGTTGTGTTGTGAATATTGCACATTCATGTTTCTTTAATATTGTGATTTAAACAGGAATAGCTTTTTTGTTAATTATGCAAAAAGAAAAGAGTAAATTAAGGGGTCATCTAGGTAAAATTTGTTAACTTCTATAGAACTTGCTTCAAGACATGCCAGAATTTGTGCACAGCTAATGACTAGTATGTTAAAGCATC